CCTAGCAGGGTTCCATCTCCTAAGCAAGGCACGGGGTGGGTGGGGTTGAGGGCTTAAGGGAAAAAGAAATTCTCAGTCCAAGCATTTCTGAAACTGCAGCCTGGTCTGAACTGACACTCAAACCAGAAAATGGCGAGTGTGCTCATGACTGAGACCTAGGAAGGTTCTGCTGCGGACCTCTCTGAAACATCATGGGAGCTGTTTGCTTGTTTTTGTCTTTATGGAGAAGAATCATTACTCCATGTCCCTGTGGTGAAGCCTAACCCTGACTGATCTAAAAAGAGAGACTAACTGGAAGGGAAAGATGGTGAAGTCTAACAGCTTCCCATCTTGGAAGGCCATGGGCTTGTTCTCATTCCCTGTTGTGGGAGAATCAGAGCCATACTGCTAGAATGACATCAGAGTAAATGTGAGCACCGCCTGGCATCAGCAAACCCCAACAATATTGGTCACATGACAACTCTGGGTGGGGAGATTTAAGAAGGAGAGGAGACAGAGCCCAGGCGAGGTCTCTGCTGACTGAAAGGAAAGACAACAGCACGTTCCTGAGCAATGCTCAGCTCTGAAATTAAAGGCCCCATGGCCATCCTCACCTCAGGGACAAACCCTGTGGCCAAGGTGTCACGTTAAGTCTCTGGTTTTCATTTCCCATCAGCCCTACTACTTCCTCATCAGGAGGAGAAGAACACACCTCTGCCTTGGCCTGCGGGCCTCCCCCTCTCTCCATCAACAGGGATACCTCACTGGCTAACTGGACTCCGTATCCTGAAGCACTTCTGCAAGCTGCAGCAATTACACCTATGACCTGGGGTCACACACACGGCTGGAAAACAGGAACTAGGCCTCATGTTGCTTTCAGACACCAAACCTGAAAGGCTAGGTTGGAGAACCCCAGAGCCAGGAGTTTAAAGCCCGTGGGTGTTGGGGGAAATCACAGGCCCTCTCACACACGCGTTCCCCCATCTATCCGGCCAACAGAATCCAGGAGGCACAAAGCGCTGTTCAGCTGGAAATACAGGGTGGAGTCAACAATGTGACCCCAGGTCAGAGGCCACACACAGCTGGTATGAGGGGCAAAGTCACGCTTCTTTTCCTCACGTGGGCTCTGCCTGTTTTAGACTGACGGGGATAGGACTCAGACGGCCCCCAAAGTATGGACTCTCCATAATGTCACGCCACCCTTGGGATGGAACTGTAAGCAACTTTTCACATTATTTCAGAGAACAGTCAGCAGTGCCTTCTCAAAACACAAGGTCGGGAATTTCTTGTTAAATATTTAAAATTATTGCTCCTAAAATATACCTAAGTAGATAAGATGTGTCCATGTTTACAGAGAGCTCAGTAAGGGCTGGGCACTTTCTAAGCTATGCCTTTGGAGTCTAACTCATAAGAGATCATTGTTAGTGTTATTGTTGCTGTTGTTTTGGTTTTTTGAGACAGGGTTTCACGGTAGCTTTGGAGCCTGTCCTGAAACTAGCTCTTGTAGACAAGGCTGGCATTGGACTCAGAGAGATCTGCCTGCCTCTGCTGCCCAAGTGCTAGGATTAAAGGCGTGCACCACCACCGCCTGCCCAAGAGATACTGAGATACAACCTATCCACACAAATGACTACTCTTAAGATTGCCCTTAAAACTTTCTTCACATCTACTACCTTAAATAGAAAATAACTTATTAATTTAAAAAAGTATAGTTTCAATCGGGTGGTGGTATCACACACCTTGAATCCCAGCACTCAGGAAGGCAGAGGGAGATGGATCTTTGTGAGTTCAAGGCTAGTCTTGTCTACAGAGTAAGTTTCAGGACAGCCAGGGAAAGGCAAAGAAACCCTTTCTCAAAAAAACAAACATTGTTTCTAGTTTCTCCCAGGTTGCACAGTGTGACCATGGCGGACAAGACTCAGAACCAGAGCTCACAGTAACTGAGTGACCTGGGGGGGGGGGTCATCAAACTCAGCTCGTTCATTGCCTTATCTGTATATTCAAAATGCTACTATGACATTTTCCCAGGCAGCTGTGAGGGCTAAATGAATTAATATGTATGTATTAATATGTATTGTTACATATCTGAAACTATGCCTATTGCATATTTACAGCTGTTTAACTACACATTAGTACAATCTGACTAGTGCCAATTTGTGTACACCATAAAAAATAACTGGCAAAACTGGAGGGGGCTTATGGACGAGCAGAGCCAAGGAGATTCTTCCAGGACCTTCCAACCCAGCAATCGGAAGAGAAATGCTGGGTAACAGTGTCAGAGTTTAAGGGAACCTGTGGCTTTCATGGGAACTGCAAGAAGAGCTTCCCTAGACCCAATGGATTCCTCTTTGGGGCTGAGCACAGACATGTGGCTCCAAGTCCCCCAGATGACTAACTTGTGTTCCAATTCATTAGGCAAGATCCTGAACTGAAAGGTAAGCCTGAATCTCCACGTATTAAAATCTTGCTGTAAAGGAAGGGAAAATGAGATCTTGAGTTGGGAACTCAGTAAAGCTGAGTTCGCAGTGGCTTCTTCCATGGAAAGGCTCACTTCTGTTTTCTGGAAGCATGTCTCTCATCATGTGTATGAGTCCCTTTGCTCTGGAGGCAGGAATGTAATGGAGCTTGGCTCAAAACTAGTACAGAGGGCTTAATGTGGACCAATGGCAGTCTGCACAAGGTTCTCTGCACTGTGGGACTGATAATTCCACGGCAGACAAACCTGTGTTCTCCAGTTCCAATTAGAAAAGTCCAAAGGATGAGACAATGGGGAAATACAGGGCTAATGGGAACCCCAAACTGCAGCACCCCCACAGCCCTCGTCAGTCACTTAGATCCTGACATGCCTGGCACCTGCAATGCTGTAGGAGTTCCAGTCTATACTGGCTCATTTTCACCCCTGCCTTTATTCTTTTCCTTATATCAACTCAAGTCAGGTTTGTACAACTTGCAAACAAAGCCTTCTGAAAAATACTAGCACATAAGCAAACAGTAGAAAATAAGCAAGCCATATTGCAAGTTGATAGTGGGCACTCCAGCTCCGCTGAGCAAACAGGAACCAGGAGCATGTCATGCCATGTGCAAAACCACAACAAAGGCTGGAGAGACGGTTTCCAACTCAGAGTCAGGCTCCAAACATCCTGAGAAGTAAACGGGCTTCTTGTTTGTAGGAGATAAATCTAGGCCTCAATTCAAATGATCTTTGCCTTTTCTTTTTTCTTTAGAAGTGGTTTGAATTATTCACTCTTTCTAGATCCTGAGGCCTAGCCATATCTGAACTGCCAGCTCATAACACATGAACCTATGACTTGAAGATTATTAAGATATGAATACTTTGACTATTAATGAAATGTTTTAAATGGGTCAAACTGGGGAACTGGCAGTGCAGTCTTGGTCCCTAGAGCTGATGCACGCCGCACGAGGGATGATAACAATTTTATAGTTCAAGATTCTATAACCATAAATCATGCTGACTGACGCTTGTCAGCCATTCTACAGAAGAATTAAATCAGCAACTTATTTACTTAGCATTGGTGCAAACGAGAAAATCAGAATTTCCAAGTGCGTTCTGCCCAGCTCTTTTTCTCTCATTGGATAAATATGATTAGGCAAACGATAGGGTGGTAACAAAACAGATTCCATGAAGGAGCTAGACAGAAAACAAAGCCAGCGTCACTTATCTAAATGCTAATAATGTAATCAGGGACGACTGTGGCTGCTGCTCTCGATGCTGAGACTTACTAGCTCTCTTGGACACGGCTTAAACATACGCTGACCACAGAACACTCTTGAAGTGAAGGGTACAATGTGAGAGAACTATATCATAAGTTCAAAGCCTTCTTTCTGTGCACTAAAATAACAATAAAATATTCACACAAAACTACCTGCATGTAAGACTGGAGGTATCTTTAGTATCAGTGTTTGGATCTGGTCCATAAATGAAGCTCTCACCCCAGAGAAACCATCATGTGCCCTGATGTATAGAGGTTATGCGTGAGGCAAACTGAAGGGGTGACACTGTTGTGGTGCTTGAATGAGAAGAGCCCCCAGAGGCTCGTGTATTTGAGTGTTTGGTCCCCCGTTAGTAGATCTGTTTGAGAAATATTGGGAGATGTGGCCTTACTGGAGGAAGTGTTTCACTGGGAATAGGATCTGGGGTTTCAAAAGGCCACACGAGGCCCACGGTCTCTCTGCCTACTGCCTCCAGATAGGGATGTGAAGGTCTCAGCTACAGCTCCGGCACCATGCACGTCTGTTTTCTGCCATTATGATCCTGGATTAATCTTCTAAAACTGTAAGCAAGTCCCCCCAATGAAATGCTTTCTTTTAAGAGGTGCCTTAGTCATGGTGTCTCTTCATAGCAATAGAACACTAAGACAACAACGGTATTCAGTACATTAGTCAAGGATTCAACATATTGTACAGGAGTGATGCCAAGAATGCAGGGCAGCTGGGTCAGATTTATAACCCACTGGACAGCACAGGTGAGGGAAGGCAATTCTGAGATGAGAGGCACAGGCAGGCATCCACTGCCAGTGGAGAAGGTGAGCAGCCCATTTTGGCAGAGACTATCAGCATCACTGCTCGAGATGAGACAGCCCGAGCTTACATCATACGATCATCCACTTCTCCTGGCAGGGAAAATGACCTCAACAGAAACCACCCGGTACAGAGGGATAAGAAACCAAGATGGCGGCACTGTCTCAGGATCCCATGCCAAAGAAGGGGCCCAGCCATGGAACTACAAAGGACCCGTCACTGAAATAACTGAAGGTTTCTCTCTACCCCAGAGTTAGTTTGGAAAACTGACTGCTATTGGTGCCTTCCATTTAAGTCTCCTTCTTCTGAGGGGACAACCCTCCAGGGATGATCTAACTTCCTATAATGGCGACTCAGAGGCCACCCTCTGAAGGGCTCTGAGACACTCTCTAACAGGAAGGCAAGCTGGTGAGTGAAGGACAGACAGCAGGAGGGACAGTTGTGCAACAGAGAAGACACAGACAGAAGAAGATAATTCTTACTTTAGAAAGGCTGGGAAGTCGTCACAAACTGCTTCACATCCTGGCCACTTGCATACGCCATGTCCGTAGAGAGGATGGCTGTGGGGGTGTTCCTCATGGGACAAGCTGCAAGAAAACACACGGGGGGGGGGGGGGGGGGGGGCAGAATGAGTAAAACACAGTCCGGAGAGTCCACGTGGCCCAGAAAGCACGTGACAAGTCTCACATTGTCATTCTCCATGGAACCTAATTAATCCTGCTTTTGAGCAAGAGGGAAACTATGAGCTAGAAGCTTATGTTCTAAACACAGGTATAGTTGCCTGGTGTTAGGAACCTACCTCCATGTGTGAAAAGGATTTGACAGGTTTTTGTTTGAGGCAAATCTCTCTACCCAGACCGCCATACTTTCCTGGGTATACAAAATACAACTGGAAAACCTGTACTGGATCCGCAGCGCTTGCATTTGCCACGGGACATTTACATTCCTTCCTCTCCTCCTCTCTACGACAACTGCTTTCACAAAATCCAAGTGTCCTCTTTTAAAAAAACAAAACAAAACAAAATTCATCTAGCAAAATGTTTTATAAGTAATACTGTGCAATACCACAAAATATTTTTCAGGGCAAATAGCAATGATTAGTTTAGAATTAACTTGTGGAGTGGGAGGTTTGTACTTCTCAAGTCACTGACAGCAAGCTTGAGAGAAAACATGGGCAGCAAGGGGTTAACACTCCAGTGGGGCTCCAATCGATAAGTAATGATCTGGCCACTGGGATCAAGTCGGGGGGATGCTTTGATCTGAGCCATGTGGAGTGCGGGGAGGAGTCCGCTGGGTTTGAGCGACAAGCCATATTCTCAAATATTTTCTCTATCTACACACCTTTCAGACAAATTATTTTTCAATAACCTTAGGTTCCATCTAATAAAAGTGTACAATGAACACCTAGAGTTCTGGTTTGTACATGGGCACACTGCCTTCTCGCAAATGGATGGGCTATTATACAGCTTCCTCTGCTGCCTCTCTTTGGTTTGAACTTCAAGAGCTTAGTGAGATACAAGGATATAAGTATACGCACTCACACACACACAAGTGTGCAAGCACACACTCACATGCATGCATATTGTATTTTATCCTATTAGTAAGGTATCTCTTCATTGACTTTCTTGACCACATATTTAGACCGTAGGTACCCACTGAAGCTTCTGGCCCTTAGACCCTAACCCACCCACAGCAAGCACATTCTAAACCTTTAAATCACAGGCAAATCAAAGTGAACACCCTGGAAAGGAGAACTATACCTCCCAAAGGCAATGATCCCCTATGTTTTTAAAATTATTTTGCTGGAACTGAACAACTTGGAAATACCAGTGAGGTACTTTTGCTCTCACAAAGGAAATAAACAGAGAAACCAAAAGAAAGAAGAAATTTTAACAACAATGTGTAAAGGTAGCAGAAACGTCTACTAGAGAATGAGGCCGACCGAAGAAGGGCATCCTCTAAGAAGAGAGGGTAAAATTCCACTGCATCCAGCGGAGGCTTCCACCTACGAATCTGTGCATAAGCAGGTACACATCATTAGTAACCTTTCAGAACCGGAAGACTGTTTCACCAGCACCGGACTCCACACATACTCTGAGACCAAAGGCTTAATTTACTAAAAACGTTCTTCTTAATGGTTTCAGAAGAATCTCTAACCCACTATTTTCTCTAGCTAGTTAATGGGAAACTAATTGAGGTATTCTAGTTTTATTAGAACATATACATGTGTGTAGAAATGTAAATATATATAAATTTGAAAAATACTGAGCATAAATATCCTAAGACACACATAAATACGTAAATTTTACAAATGAAAGCATGAACAATTATACTCTTTATATTTAATGTCATTTTGCCTTTGAAACGTTTAAAATTTTTATTTTATGTGTATGAATGCTTCATTCACGTGTGTGTGTGTGTGTGTGTGTGTGTGTGTGTGTGTGTGTGTGTAACATGTGGGTGTCTGGTGCCTGCAAAGGTCAGAAGAAGATGCCGAGACCCCAGGGATTAGAGCGACAGATGGTCAAGAGCCACCATGTGCGTGCTAGGAAGCGAACCCGGGTCCTCTGCAAGAACAGTTAATTGCTCTTAACCACTGAGCCATCTCTCCAGTTCTGATGTCATTATTGTATAGAAATTCCTGTGTTATCAACTAGTCTCCAAACTTCCAGCTATTGATGGGGAATATGCTACCAACTTAGGGATCTAACTTTAACCATTCCTATAATTTGGATACTCAGAATTCTATTATATTTCTTATATTTATAAGTAATGTCAGAGATAAAATTTATTAGGCTAAACATCTTGGCATACACCAATTTCCTACCAAGATTCAGAAAAATCAACAAATCATTCACACTACGGCTTATACGTCACTAGGAATACCGTACCAGCTGTTCTTGCTGAGTGCCTGGTACCCACCACCCTGCATCATTATACGATGTGTGCAGAAGCCAGGAACCTCGACTACTGAGAATGCAAAAACTCCTCTTCCTACCAGTTGGGAACTGCGAATGGTACCGAGTTTAATCAGGAATTCTTGAATTACCACCACAACATGCCCAGCTCCCATGATGCTTGCTGTCCTCCTGGTTTATGTGATGAACACATGAACAGAAACTATTTCCCTTTAAGTGCTTATTTCTACTTCAACTTGGAATCACCTGAAGGTCAGAGAGATGACTTAGGTCCTGATCCCCAAAGACCAAACAAACAACAACCCCGTGCACAGAAGCACATACTTAATTACTTATTTAACTTAGAACACTGCTCCTTATTGTGGAAAGATCACATGCTCTCTTACTATCACGCAGTGCTGAGTTGGCTGACATGGTATCCACTCACCCCACCCCACCCTAGACATCACTGTTTACATTCTTGTGGGTGACTGCTCCATCTCTCTCTTCTGTTGTATTACTATTTTGTAAGGTGGCAACAAACGCTGTCTCCAGCTTTCCAAATGTACTGTGTAACTGAATACATTGAAATGTTCCATTGTCTGAAGAAAATACTTAGATTTGGATGGAAGAAGAGGTTGGCAGTGGTACCCTGATGGGACCTTTGCGAAGGCTCTTCAGGGACCAACAGCTCAACACTGGGAGATGTCTGGGGAGTCAAGGAAAGCTGAGTATTTACCTGACAACTTTTTATACATTTTATGAGATTTTTATTTTGTTGATAACCTGCTGACATGCAATTGTTAACCATTGCATACACTCGTGTATACAGTAGAAACGATAGCCAAGTACAACCCAAGATGGGAGTTGCAGTCTGTCACTGGCTATGTTGCCATAGTAAAGCTGCACAGCCACCATGATGCATGGCTGAGCCTGGCTCCTGGTCTCTGGGTCATTCTGCACACAACCCCTGTCACATCTCTGGATAGGATCTTTAATGTTTCATCAAGAGAGTGGATGAAGGAACATTAGATTTCCACTGCTTTCTGGCTTCTGACAAAAAGAGCCAAGAAAGCAAACACAAATTCATCAACTTCAGTTAATTCAGAGCTCCAGGTACAGGCTGAAAGAGAGTGGGCAGGCAAGGCTCAGAGCACCTGACGGTGGGAGGCAATCCTAAGGCTCAGAGCATCTGACGGTGGGAGGCAATCCTAAGGCTCACATGACATAAACTGGTCAGAGGTGACCATGTGGCACAGAGTGGGCCTTTGGTATCTATGAGAGATGTTCACTATATTTGCTTTGAAGATACTCAAACATATTTACCCAAAATAAAACTCTGAGAAAGTTTGGATCAATTGTTCCTTTTCTTTTTCTTTCTTAGTATCCCTTTCCTTTCCTGTCCCATCCCCCCCGCCTTCTCTTTCTGTCTTTTCTTAGCCCAGGTAGCTTTGAACTCTATGGAGCCAAGAATAACCATGAATTCCTGATCTTTCGGTCACCCTCTGCCAAGCCCTGGGATTACAAGTGTGTACTACACTTGCCAGGCCCCAGGTCAAATGTTCAATGACATTTTAGTTTGTTTTACTATAAACTCTCAGGTTGAGTACTCCTGTAGGCAGGGATCACTCCCTCATTCCCACATACTGAGCACCCCACACAGTGCTCAATAAATGCTATGGAGATGTATCAATGAACAGACAGCAAACAACTTGTCCTATTTAATTTTTGTGTGGTAATATACTCAATATTTACTTTCTCTTATTCTTGTAGGTAAAGACCAGAATTATGCAAACCCACAGGAGAAAATATTGCTGAAGACACTTTGTATTACTTAATTTTATTCAGACTATGCGCAACACAGATAGATGCATTCGAGAAAAGCCAGTTGATTTAAATCTTTTCTGATAATCCGTGCTACGTAAAAACTAAATATAATTTAACACGAGAACAGTGGTAGCGTTTCAGATGTGAAGGAGTCAACGTGCCAGGGAAAGTATAATTACATATAGATATGAACTAGCTCCTGACACTGCATGGTACTTATCAATGCGTTTACATTTGCTATGGTGTGATGCCTCCATTCCCAATGACATTTGCTATGCTATTTCTGTTCGATTTATTTTCCCGACATTGACATCCACCAGCCACAGCCTTTACTTGCACACTGGTGGTAGAAAAGACTCTCTTTTCAGTCAGTGCTGGAGCTTTGAACTCTGGGCAAGCATGCTCTCCCTGAGCTATAACCCTAGGTTTCCTGGAGACATTTGGATGTTCAGCAGTGGCGACTGGACTTTGCACTGCCCAGTTCACTGCCCAGGCAAAACTGAACACTGGAATTATTTCTGATGCCTGCCACAAGGACAGCCTCAAGACTGCAGTCTGCAGGCTTCAATAACACTTGAGCTGTGGGTCCCCTGTGGCGACTGAAGGAATTCTTGGCTAAGGAGAGGGAATACAGACCTCACCTCACCTCAAACACGTCCTGCCAACCTACATGTCGGCCTCCAGTATAGAAATCAATTCCACCATTCACAAAAGCCGCAACTAGATCACTGTTAATGCCAGCGACACATGCACTGGCATGTCTTCTGAGTAGCCCCAAACTCATTTTGTCCCATTCCAAACTTGCCTACTTGGTCTTTTTAACTTGAGTCATTCGTACCAAAAGGCAACACTGATGTCTACTG